CTGAGTCCTAGGTCGGTCCTGGCATTATCACAAACATTTTGGCAGCGCATGGAAAGTCGCTCACCCTAGTTTTCATCTTATAGCAGACAAGTGCTGGGACATGACTCTTGGAATCTGTGCTCTGGATGCAAGTTGTGGGCAGTGAGGGCACTGGGGACAGACCTGTTCTCCGTTCTCCTAAGGCGTGTTGCAGTGCAAAGTCAGTGTGTTGGCAGGGATGCTAGGAGGTCTCCTGTGCATCTAGAGCTGTCTTTTCTTTCCTGCTGCCTCCTAGAGTAGTTGTCCTCCTTCAAGCATGTTATTTCTGCTCCTGACTCCCTCACCTCTTTATTTGATGTCTCTTTATTCCCTAGCTCTGCCCACTGTGGTTCCACTTGTTCTTTTCTTGGTTTCCCTGTTTGTTATTTGGAACTAGGTGTTGTATGAGCATCCAAGAAAAGCAGCCTGCAAGGTAGGTATAGACTGTGTGCAATGGCTGTTAGGCTAGAAAAGAAAATACGTTTGAGTAACACTTTTTTGAAAATGCTTAAATCCTGGTGCTGAGATTGATTTGCTTGTTGTTTCTCCCCTTAGGGTCACTCAAAGACCACCCACAGCAGCAGGCTGGCATGCTTTCTCGTGTGACTGGTGGCCTCTTCAGTGTCACAAAGGGAGCTGTTGGTGCCACGATTGGGGGTGTTGCTTGGATTGGAGGGAAGAGCTTGGAAATTACCAAAACAGCGGTCACATCTGTGCCTTCCGTGGGAGTGGGTCTAGTCAAAGGAAGCGTTTCTGCTGTAGCTGGAGGCGTTACAGCTGTAGGATCTGCTGTTGCAAGTAAAGTGCCTTTAACAGGAAAGAAAAAGGACAAGTCTGACTAAAACCAAAACTGAGACATACTCAATTCTCCAGAATATTGCATCAGTGGCATTAAAATCTGCTAAGATTGGGACCATGAGAAGCCATGTGTCTTAGACACTTTATCTTCTAATGAGTTGTGCAAGTAACTCAATTTCATCTGAAAAGGACAGAAGAAGCTTGGCTAGCACAGCGTTTGAGGATTTATTAGAGTCTAGATTGAAGCTTTGTATCTGGTGAAATGTTACACTTGATAACTATAGAAGTGAGTGTATCTGAAGGAATAATACATATTTGAATAGTCATTTACTGTACATCTTCTGCAGTTTTGGACTAAAATGTGAATGTAGAAACTTGGTAGTTTCTGTGATGCCATCGATACAACAAGATGACAATTATTGTTCTCAGTGGTTTCCACATCCTCCTGCTAAGGATCCTTCAGCTGTGTAAAAGCACTGTTGGACGTACCCAGTCTTGGTTACGAACCTGTAATTGCAGCCTGTAAACTATCCCTGACTGCATTCTGCCAGTGAAGACCGGAGCAAAGAGACTGGAGGTGTGCAGAAATTGGAAATGAGAATGGGAGATAGAAGTGAAAAAGCTGAACAGCATGGTAGAAACGATTATAAAGAGTAAACTAACTTAATGCCTTATTAGAAGAAAATCTCTTTTTACTAGGTGAAGCTGTGTAAAGAACTGTCCTGTCGTTTCAGTGCAGTTTACAGCATGAGCTTTAGGCTCTTTATAAATACTGATATCTGAAACTTTCTCAGTTTTTACTGAAAACGTGATTGCTTCATCTCAGGTGTATTTAATAATATGCATCTATCTCCTGCAAGTGAGGACTTGCTTCCAATAAAGTTCTTAGATGCTAGAAAAAAATCACAGCCTGTGAAAAATGGGCTGATGTTTGTGGTCATCTAGCACAGCTGTCTAACTTGCTAGGAATTCTTGTGTAGCTGGAAACCACTGAAGAACTAGCAAAGCCGTTCTCTCAACTCTCTGATACACCAGGTTAGCTTTTTGCTCTGTTTAAGCAAATTCAAGGAAATTTTCACTACATTTCTTGTACTTTTCACCTTGATTTATGAGTAAAATGCAATACTTTTATTTAAAACAAACCAAAAACAGTAGATGAGGCCTTAAAAAAAGAAAGGCAAAGTCATTCAAGTAATTTGTACACTGACAGATTTCAAATGTTGACACCTCAAATGGGAACACCTGTACATCCTCTGCAGCTTGTGAGGCAAAATGCACTTGTAATGACACAGGGTGAGGTTGCCTTAAAATAGAAACCATTTGTGATCTTTTATTTGTGTACTGATTTTGAAAATAAGTCATCTCTTTGGAAGCCCATGGAAAGCATCTGCTCATGGTGTGTATGCAGTATTGTCTAAAAACTTTTGTTTCTGTGGAGAGCTTGTACGCTTACTTTTTCAGTGGCTGTGGTTGTACTAGAAGGTTATATGGAGGGACTTTTTAAAAATGAAAAAAACTCGAAACATATCACTTGTTTTTTGTTCACGGGTGTTGAAAGTACCCCATATCTCAATTATGGTACTGTAGTCACCCAATCTCTCTGAGCCATTGGTACTTCTACTGTACTCTGTAACAACTTTATTTTACATCAGAAATCATACATGTTGGAAGCATAATTGTAAGCGTGGAACTTGGGGTGGTGGGGAAAGCAAAAACCCAAGAAATGACATCTGCTCCTTCTGTTAGATGCACCAGCTGCTTGGTTCTGATCTGCAAGGGTGTGATGAGGTAAGTCAATAGAAAAAATGGAAGACTTTAACTATTTTTTTATAGTCAAAAACAAATTGCATAGAATACAGTATTGTTTAGAGGTACCAGTTAGCTCTAGAAATGAGCTAGCCTGGATATCAGAGGCAATTTTGCTGCAGCATATAATTTAGTATGGTCTGCTCCCCTGCAATATCCAGTGTAGCAATATCCCCCAAGTGCTGCCATTGAACTCTTTGGGAGTCACCTGTTTGGAGCACAGTGATAATTTTTGACACTCAACCAAACTCTTCCTAATAGTTTTTCTGTAAATGGGAATGTTGAACTGGTCATACCCACTTTTTTATTAAATTCTTTAATTTTAAACTATGAAACTTGCAGCAAAACAAGCGTTGTCTGAGATGAGCAATGTTAGGTATGTAAAGAGTTGCCAGCCATTATGTTTTGCTTTTAACATATCCTGTAGCTATTGAGTCTTGTAAACTGAAACTTTTACATGCATATGGGTTTAATTTTCAAAGAGCTTTGTCCTGTATCCTGTGTGTTTTCTGTTCACTTGTGAAACTTGCTTAATCTTAAAAACTTGTTCCAATTCTGTCCTGGCACCTGTGAAACATTAAATTGTTGCTGTTTCAGACATTTGAAAGCTTCCTTAGTTTTGTGGAGAAAGGCATACTTAGATATAAATCTTCCCACAGTACCATGCTCCAGTGTCTTCTATTTGTGTCTACTTAGCACCAACCAGCTCTTAACAAAAGCTAACTTCAGTGTCTAAACTATGCACTGACACAGCACAAAATCCTTTGCAGTAATTTTCTTTTCCCCTGGTCAATGATGCTTGGGATTACCCAGTTTTAAGATCATACTGAGCTGCATGGAATATGAAACTGAAATTTTCTGGGGGAGTGATGTTGTTCTTTTTTCTTGGGATTGTTTTTGTGGTAGCTTTATTTCACTTTCCTCTTCCCAGTCCCCATTTCAAAAGGGGAAATGTTTATGAAGGCAGCTTGTATGCCTGACTGCTGTCTAGGTAGTGAAAAGCTTACTCACAGGCTGCTCCACAGTCACTGTGAGTAAGGAAAGTTGACTATTTCAGCAATACAGTGTTTTGGTGACTGGGAGCTTTCCTGAGGTTTTCTTGTAAACGAATCCTGTGAAGAAGAGAGAAACAGGTCCCAGGATAGAGTTAGGAATGAAGGATTGACTAAATTTTCATCTGGTAGTAGAGAAGAAGATCATTTCTGCGAATGCTTTTATTTTGAAAGGGGAAAAGAAATGGAAATATTCAGAGTGCAAAATGAGTTTGTGATAACTCAGGCTGTGACTTAGTTAAGGAAATATATCATTTTCCTCTTCTGTTGCCATTGGAAACAATTTAAGTGATGGGAATAAGCTGTTTCAAGAACTTTGTAAAACCAGGTACCTGTAGAAATGCTAGAACTAAATATTCAGGGAAAACACTGTTGTATGTCTTGGTTTCCTTTTCCTCCTAAGCTACCAATCAGGTCTCTGTCTCAGTTACAGGTTGTGTTAGAAGAGCTTTGGAGACCTGAAATGCCCTTTTGTGTCTGAGGGGAAGGAGGCTTTTAAATTCAGATAATATTGTGGTCTGCTTAATAGCTGAGCAGGAAAAGACAGTCAGAAAATGACAAAGGCAAGTTCCTGTGAATTTTTAATACAGCTGTCTTCCCAGTTTCCTCTTAAAGAACGATAATGAGTTTTGAAAGAGTCAGCATAGACACAGCTGGTACCACAGCCTGACTTCTTTATGCTGTGATACGTCCCCTTCTTGAATTGTGCCACTGTTGCACAGAGTCCTGCAGGAGTGGCATTTACCCCCAGAAGCGCCTGTCACGTCTGCATTTGCCTGCAGAGTGCTCAGTGTAAGCCCTTCAGCTGTTGGGATCTTTGCACTGCTTCTACCAAGTGTTCCCAGCCCCTCCCAAGTGCACACCAGATAATATGGCAGACTATGTAAAATAATCGTCTTGCAGCTTACCCTCTGGACCAGTAATTCAATACCAGCTTTCTTCAGCAATTACAAACCACATTCTAAGAAATGGAGGCTTGGACTTGCTGCCAAAATGTGTGTTAAAAATGACCTTGAAGAATGCCTAGAGTGAGGGTGGTGTGTAGCTGGCTTTTATTCTGCTGTCAAGAGGGAATGTGTGTGGAATAGCTACTTAGGAAAGTCTGCGAAATAAAATCACTGATCTTAATCCTATTGAGATGATTGTTAGTGATGCTGCTGTTTTATATTAACATTCACAGCCCATAAATGAGAAGAAATCAAATCCCCTGAGAACTTAAAAGCTGTCTGATAGTTACTATTTTGAAAACCACCACTTGTTGCCAATTGTCATATGGTGTTATCTTAGAAGCAGTGTCACCCATATATTTAGAAACTGTTGCAGCTGTTTGCAAATCTGGTAGTCATGTTTAATCACCACTGGTTTACAGACTAGAGTTTTGTTGCACCTAATACAAAAGCATGACTTTCTCTCTTCTCCTACCATCATTTGAGACTTGAGTCTCTCCCTAATATTTCTTGTCCCCAAACCTTGCTAGAAAATAAGAACTACACGATAGCAATAAATGTATTTCTTCCTCTCCCAAACCATTTGAAAAAGCAAGTAAATTTTGCAGTCTCAGAAATAAAAACGTTATAATCCTGTAGTTTCTTTGCATTATGGTTTGTACACAAAGATACTAGGGTCTCACTGTAGCAGTCAGTGAATAAAAAAATATTATGTCCAGTCCCTGTTCTCAGGACAGGGCTTTGCTGTCCAAGAAATCAAGTCTGTTGCAGGTCAGGATCCAGGAGCTAGAGCTACTTCAGGAGCAAGGAAAATAACTACGAGGGCATTTCTTGAAGACAGTAAACCAACCAATTGATGAATACCGCTGGAAAAATAATCCTCCTTTTGTCTTCTTCAGATAAAAATTGTGCTAATCATTTCCACAGGCTGGACTGTGCAGTGACAGAGCTGAAAATCTAAGGCAGTTAATGCCCTGTCAGGTAAGAAAATGTCACATCTGAGGTACTCTTAGGAAAAAGCAACATTTATCATAACTGTAACTTCTATTACGATATTTTAAAGTATGATAATACTATGATTGTATAATGAAGTTGTGCCCAAGACCCCCTCCTGAACAAAGTACCGTGTAAGACTATAGTCTTGATTAAGATTGCTGCTTTTGTTCCATCTCTTCTCAAAGAATAAACTTCCCTATTAATTTGCTTTTGCATAACTTGAAGTACAATGTTCAAATTAATCTTCAATGTGTAGAGGAGCAACAGGATTAAAAATGGGTCTCTCCTTCTTTGATTGTATCTTACCATAAGTGACTTCAAAGTCTTTTTTAGTACCATTCAAGCTTTCTAAATTTCCACTCTTTATATCATATCCTAATGTAGAGAGCTTTTTAATTCGGTACTGAACTATTTGTGTTGTCAACTCCAGCACCATTGGTGTCTCTCTTATCTGTGCTATAGAAATTCCTTCCTTCAGTAGTCCTTCAAGTCTTTCTTCCAAAACTGGGACAGAATAGTAGAGAAGGGCTGGGCATTTCAGCACTAGTTGTTTTAGTTCTTGATCACTGCACTTGAAGATGTTTTTGGAGAAAAGCATACTCTTCTGCATAGTGGTAGAATTAAGTTGAAAAATGAAGCCTTTAAGTTTGGACAGAAGCTGTAGAACTTCCTGGTCAGTGAAATCATTCTTTTGGAGAAATTCCAAGTTCTCCTGGATTGCAGTGGAAGTATTTAATAAAATAAATGGATTTTGGCTCAATAACTTCAGTATCCAGATCTTCATATTTGCTTCAGAACCCCCTAAATTTAAATAATTTCTTTGTAATGTCTCTATCACATTTTTGTTCTTCTCAACAGGGTTATAGAAAATATTTGGTGCACTTGTCAAGAACCTGGTGATTATATTATTCTTAAGTCCTAGCTCTTGAAAAAACAGTATGTTTGCCTTCTGGTTCTGCTGATACTCAGTAGTAAAAAAAGACTCTGGAAATTGCTCTATTAATTTAACCAGCTGTTTTTCATTCTGGCATACTAATTGCCATAAAGCTCTTTGAGAGTTTATCTCTGCTGGGGTGTGGAGAATTGCCTCGGGGCAGCGTTCTATAATGTTGGCTACAGTGGTCTTATCTGCTCCCATTTCCTGTAAGATACCAGCAATTTCTTTAACATAGGCCACATCCTGGAGAAGGACCCATTCCTTCAGTCTGCGTATCTTCCTGATGTCAACTGACAAACTGTAGAGATTCTCAAGGGTTTTTTTATTTTCCTCTCTTGACTTGGTATCAGTTGTGTAACTGGAATGTATTAGGAAGCTTCTGTTTGCTATGTCAGGCCATACTGATGAAAACTTCAGTCCCGGGTTACAGCTCTGAGGTCTTGTCAACAGAAGAGTGAATGTGTCTTTTGCAGCGTGAGCAACTCCTCTCAGCATCGTGGAAATCAGTCCTGTGGAGACACAACAACTCTAAGACAACCCATTTAAGGAACAAGTTAATGGTCAGAATCATTGATGTTTAGACAGAACCGGTGTAAGAAATAGCTCTCCAGAGTGGTTTTTGTTATTAGTGCAAAATCCAGCTTTCACATGAAAGCAGGGGGAAGGACTGCTTTTGAAAGGTTAAGTTGCCTGATGGATACATCATTGGAACAGTAACATGGATGCAACAGACCTGATGTGGGGCAGTGCGCTGCCCATATCAATGCCTGCAGTCATACAAGCTCCAAACTGTCAGCCATTTCTTGCAGCTAACATTGTGACTGCATTACAGATCACTCGCACTGTGTGAGTAAAATGATTCATGCAATTTCATTTGACAGCAATCCCACTAAATCAACAAAAATGGCAGCTTAAATCTTAGTTCTTATGAGTGCATTTGCTTTAACTTCTCAAGCATTATTTGGAGTGTGAGTTGTTCTTTCATGTGTCAGAGACCCACCACGCAGTGCTGCTTCAGCAGCAGTTTGCAGCATAACTTCATTTTGACATCATTCTTTATATAATTAAGGGAGGAGAAAGAAAATCATTTGAGCCTTTATGTAAGTGTTTTTCTCCAGCTGTGTGCGTTAATTGAATGTGAATAAGCACCTTGGTATTCTGGGGGAGGAAGCAAGTACACAGTAACATTTCCAGGCCTTCACCTACCTCTTCCAACACCTACTTCACTACAGCTGCTGCTTGCACCAATGCCTTATTTCTGCCTCCAGGTCTCTTCTGTAGGCAGAGTCCTTGTGGAATAGGTGTGTGGCTGTGCTGGAGTCCACAGGGCCAACCCCACACCTCACCTTTGCTCAAACTGGCTGCCCAGTTATCACCAATACCACATGCACTGTCACCTGCTCTGCAGGGGCAAAGGAGCCGCAGCAGTCAAACAAAGATATCATCAAGTGTATCTTTAACTTCCTGGGGGTGTTTTCATACAACCCTTTAGAAGTACCGACTGTGCAAGGGAGAACTGCTGATCTCTGCAATTATCCTGCAAATAGCTGCTGCTGGTAACATGCTTAAAACTGCTCAAACTGAAAATGAGAACGTTTGGACAGCTGCTTTCACCTCTTCCTAAGTATAGCATGCTTCAAAAAGTACCTATATGAGCACTGTTAAAATACTTTTGCTTGGGCTTTTTTGTTGAATTTTTTTTTGGGGTGGGGGGTTCCTTTTTTTTTTTTTTTTGTTTAGGAGATAAAATACTGTTATGATCCTGCAGTCCAATCTCCTACATAACAGACCAACATAGCTATTCTACAGCTGTATGAGAGCCCTAGAATCTTCCTTGTAGCCCATTGTCTGAGAAAATACGTGGTTGGTTTAGAGAACCGAAGTGGTAGATTGATTCTCTTTCTAGCTGCCAGACAAGGTTAAATATTTTCCAGAGGTAAATCCTTTGTCTCAAGAGAGTGTATCTTTATTTTTAGATTTTTAGATTGCTTTTTTCCTGCTTCTGAGATGGACTATTGTTATGTTATTACATCATAAACTAACAGAATATGATGTCATTTCCTATATGCACTCTTATGTTATTAACAGAAGCTGTTTATTGGTAACTTGTTCTTTAGTGTTATTTCACACCTCTAAGGCAAAACCAATTACTTAATGCGCTGCTTGTGTCAGAGCCCCAAGGCTGATGGTTTTGTTTTCATCCACCTTGTGACTTCAGAAATGCTGTCCCAAGCCCCACAACAAAACAAGTGATTTTTCCAAGGAACCCTGAAAGAACTGGAAGTACTGGAAATGTAGGTAAGTCACAGATATTTTGTGTGCTGACCTTTCCAAGTCCAGAAAAAGTGACTGCAAACTAAACCTCTGCTCCATAGGAGTGACACAACTGCCTGTGTCTGAGCACTCTGACTAGTTTTACTGAGTTTAGTGGGTCCAGTCAGAATAAGCAAATCTCTGAAGGATCAGGGTTTTCTTCATTAATGCTTCAGCTTAGGTAGAAGCAGCCAGCAAAGTGAAGTGTTGTTAAAATTGTTTGGGATGTCAAATAATATTTCCAAAGTACAAACTCAAAAAATAACCATGGCTTACTTTTACTTTAATGTGTAATCCTGCTATTAAACAAAATTGCCTTGTGAGTAATGCAGTCCCTTAAAATACTGTCATTTTTACTATTATAGAACTTTAAAATTATTCTGATATAGTAAATTGTGCTCTTCTAAAATCTGACATGGGAATGGTTGTTTCATTCATGTAAAAGAATCCTTACATTTTCTAAAAATGCCTGGGATCACAGTCAATTTTTCCCTGTTGTTAGTGAGGATCATCAGAAACATAGAATACTGTAAAAGAAAGAAGTTTATTTGCCAAAACTCATTTGACAGGGGTACTCAGGAGCCCTTGTAAAAAAGCCCTATGCAAAAAATAACATTAATTAATTTGAATGTTATGGTGTTCTAAAGAAACCAAGAAGATCTGAGTTATGACTTGATAGATTTCCAAGTCCATAGATGTCAGTATTCACATTTCAAGTATGTAACTGCTTTCAAGAATTCAGAGTTCTTTCTAAGCTCTTGTTGGATCTAATGTGCAGGAACCCACACAATTGTTGGATCATGTTCTGATGTGCAGGACCCCACTGTAACCTGTAACTTTTCACATACTTAGATTGCTGTGGGGATTGTAAAGCAATTGGGAGATTAAGGGGGAAAAGCCCAGCCAGCTGAGATAAGATGCTTGCTCTCACTGCCTGCAGCACCCTCTCACCACCAAGTGTTAGAACAGCAATAAGGAAGTGAGCTAATGTCAGAGTTACTTGTGATATTGCTTGCTAGCACACTTGCAGAGACCTGAATATACAGAGTAAAGGGGTGCTGTAAGTTTCAGTATTTAATGAGACTTCTATGTAAATCTTCTATAGGAAATAGATACAAGGATCAATTGGTTAATTTATCCCTCATGTAAATTTCTGAATGTGCATTTTTTGAATATCGCTTTTTGAAAATTAGCAAACCCAAACTTTTACTCATGCTGGATTGTTCACAAAATCTTTCAGTAAAGAGGGCAACAGTATGACTGCTGACCAGTACAATTCTCGTAACAGGGAAACTTAGTAGGCTGTAAAGAATTAAATGAAACTACTGAATGCCTAGATTGAGTGAACCAAGAAGAGTAGGTATCTACCTAGAAGACAGCAGTGTAGACAGGGTTTGAATGGTCTGTGAAGGAATCTGGGGTGGTGAGAGGTTGCAGTTTTGTAGAATAATGCACAGTTAATATTTACACTTACGCATTTACAAAAAATTAATCCCTGCTTTGATTAGTGGTGGAAATTAGGTAAATTATTATAAAATACATGCTAGACCAACATAAAGCTTTCTAGAAAAAAATGCAGAGGATCCTAGAGTAATCCAGTTTTGAAGGGATCTCAAGAGCTCAAAGCAGGGATCCAGGATCCAGGCTGCTTTTTTCAGTCAGGTCTTTAAAACCTCAGTGGATGGAGCCCATCGGGCTCTGTGGGGTACCTGCTCCACTGCTCAACTTCCTCATGGGGACAAAGCTTTTCCTTACATACAGGAAAGAAAAGACATTTGAAAAGTTCTTAAGGACACGCCACACTATTTAAACCACTGGTCATTAAGTGGTGGTGCTTTCAGCACAGACAAAACGAGGGTCTCCAGCACAGCCTGCTCCCACAGCCCTGCCACCTGGGCCTCCCTTTCCCACCCTTTGGACTCCGCTTGGGGGCGGAGAGGCAGGAGGCGGGTGTTCTTCTGCAGCCAGCACGGGAGAAGCGGCTGCTGGCCCGTCCCGCCCGGGTGCCGCTCCCGCCGCAGCCACAGGCACGGGGGCCCCGCGCCCGGGGGTCCCTCCCCGCCCCGCATCCCTGGGAACAGCGCGGCCTTTCCCTCTGCACGCCGCCCGCCCCGCATCCCTGGGAACAGCGCGGCCTTTCCCTCTGCACGCCGCCCGCCCCGCATCCCTCGGAACAGCGCGGCCTCTCCCTCTGCACACCGCCCGCCCCGCCCTCAGCGCCGGCGCTCGGAGCGGGACAAGCGGAACGCCAGCCGGCCCCTCCGGCCCCCGAGCCCCGCTGCCCCGGCCGCGCTCACCGGCCTCGCCGCCGCCGCCGGGCCGCAGCGCCGCCGCCGCGCGGGGAGCGCGGGCCCGTCCCAGCGCCGGCAGGGCGGGGCGCGCTGAGCCGCGGGGCGGGAGGACGTGGCCGAGCCGCCGCCGCTCGCCGAAGCAGGCTTGGCCGGCACTAGGAGGGTGAAAGGCCGTTGGATTAAAACAGCTCTCAGAGAAAAGTAGTGGGGTGAATAGGGAAAAAAATGTTTTGATAATAATTTCTAAGTAATATAATAGCAAAGGATGGAACATTTAAAAGTCAGACTACTCGAGTGCCTTTGCTCTGACAGGAAGCAGATGATCCTTTTGATTTGGTAATGCTGATATCATGATGGGAGTCTTGCCTTACACCAGTGTATTTTCTTCATATGGCCACTACCTTATTACATAATTCACATCTTGTCATTGGGCTTACATTGTTTTGCTCGTGGCTTTTCAGAAGTTCATTGAACTCTGATGGTGAGAACCATCTTCTATCTTATTTTTTTAGCCATATCTACTTAACTTTCTCATCTAGAGTAACAAATCAGCAGTCACGTAAATTATTTCTAGACTAGAAATATTTTACTAGAGGTGTTGGGATTTTTTAACTAACTACAAGTCTGCACAATCACGTCTTGCAGAGAGTGAAAATCACTACTGTCGTCTCTGTGAACCCTTCTTTTATCAGCTACACCTTCAGTAGGCTCTATTGGGTCTGTAAAAAAGAGCTGATGAAGAAGAGAAATGCTATAGGAAGAAATTTCTGCTCTAGGAACAGGGTTCAGGGTTCAGGAACTTGGTCTCCTAAATAACAGCTGTTCCTAGAACAGTTAACAAAGTCTGTGAATAGAATGCATAGAGTAATGTTAAAAACATGCATCTAAAACAATAGCTTCCCATTTGTAACACAAAATGTACTGTACACTTGGTTTTTTTCACTTCATGCCTTCATGTTATCTTTTTCCCCTTCTATCTTCTCCCCACTCTCTTCATTTTTGCAATCACAGTCTGGGCTAAATTAGCAATATTGTTTAAAAAAGTTAGTCACATGAGAACACTGTAGAGAGGTTTACTTTTGTGAGTTCCTTGATTAACTGTCGTTCTATTTTCTATTTCAACTAAGTTAGAGTGGTTCTTCCCTTGAGATCTCACATTTTAATTAATATAGTCTGCATATATTATATATTAATATATCCTAATACAATATTAATTATACATTAATATGTTCTTTCTCTCACTTCTGAGTCAGGAACAAACTGTCTCACATAGAAGGCATGGCCAGATAGAGCCAAAGAGTATTTTAACATAATTAGATGCTAATGATATACTGCAATTGTTATTCAGCCTGTAGCAACAAACAGCTTAGAGACTGATGGTTTTCATGACTGCAATTTGTTTATGAAACCATAACATCTAGCGAGGAAGGGCTGTTTCCAGTATTCTCAGTATTCCCAAGAAGGCAGGCTGGTTGATGCTGGACTTTATTCAGGGCTCTCTTCAGTGTGGCAGCCTTGTGGGGAGCTAGCAGGACACTTAATAAGTATGAAAAGCAATTTAAATGTTTGAAATAAAAACTATGTTGTGAAGCGACTCTCCTTAAAAATAAGGCATCTACTTCTTCAGTATTCAAAAATTATAGAATTCAAATAAGTTTGATGGACAGTGGCCATTAACTACTGAATTCCTTTTTGTTTTTTATTTATTTCAAAATCATTTACCAAATATTTGGCATATGATAATAAAAAACCACCAGACAAATAAGGATGTACTTTATATGAATTGGGAAAGCAATGTTTGACTTTACAATGACCCCACTACTCCAGCTCTGAGTTGTAGCCAGGGTATATGACAGGATCCCATGTGTTCTTCTTGAATCAGAATTATGAGCTGTGGAGTATGGTTTTCTACATACAACAAAGTGATAATTGAGAAACTCATCATAATTTATGCTGTTGTTAAAGTCAGTGCTCAGAAACTGTTCACTCTCCACATGCTACACCTTTTAAAAAGAAATTTTGTGTAAGACCAAGCAGAAAGGGATTCTAATCATGGCTGGGGCCTTGGCATACCTTGATTTTCAAGGATAGGTGGGGCCTTGTCTGCCAGGCAAGGTGTGACAGGACAAGAGGACAGAGCCTCAAGCTGCACAAGGGGAGGTTCAGATTGGACAGCAGGAGGAATTTTTTCACTGACAGGGTTATTAAACATTGGAATGAGCTGCCCAGGGAGGTGATGGCGTCACCATCCCTGGAGCTGTTCAAGAAACAACTGGATGTGGCCCTCAGTGCCATTGCCTAGCTGAGATGGTCGTGGTCAGTCAAAAGTTGGCCTCAGAGGGCTTTTCCAACCTAAATGATTCTGTGATTCTATTAGGTCATTCAAAGTGAGGAAAGAAAAGCACAAAGGGAAACACATGATGCACATGTCTCTTCTTGTTGACTTTTCCTTTCTGTGGATCTTAGCAGAAAAAATATTTTAGGAGAAGGAAAAATGACAGTTCTTAAAGAACTGTCTGGAATTCTCAAAGTTAAGAAAGGCCTGTACTGCTGAGTTGGGTCCTCTGCCTTTTACTTGAGACATTCTTTCTAATGAGACCACTCCTGCTGTTGCTATGCTCTTGTCCATGAAGCTGTAGATTTGAGCTGCAATCCAGGTGGAGGTTTATTTTCAGATCTGCATCGAGAGCTGCCCTGTGAAAGCTCCAAAGGGTTGTACTGAGTCCTGTCAGTGCGATGCCTCAGTCGGCTGTTGGCCGTGCGCAGCGTAACCAAGGAGCAGCTCCGGGAAACCCGCTGTGCTGGCAGCACAGACGGTGGTTTGAGCTCTGTAATTAACAGTGAGAAATTCACCATTTAGTAATGACTTTACTAACGGTGCCCTAAGAGAGACCATTTTAACTCGTTCAGCTGCTTGAAAGCCTGTTTGGGTGCGGCAGCACCGCACGGCCCAGCCGCTTTCTCTTGCCCGGGGGTGCCTTTTGACCGACACGTCCCGGCGGCACCGGGCAGCACCGAGCCCTCGGCCCGCTTTACGGAATCGTCAGGGTGGGAAGGGCCCCCGGAGCTCCGCTAGCCCAGCGGGCGCTCCCTACGCACACGCTTATATAAGCGCCCCGCCCGCCCGTGCGGCGGGACCGCCGGGCACGGCTCCGGGGGCGGGCGGGCGCGCGCGGGCCGCGATACATAACAGGCTCGGGGACGCGCGCACGGCGCCACCCGGCGGAAGCGGCGCCGCCGGGAGCGCTTCGCGGCCCCGTGCTCATCCGGGTCCCGCCGCGCCGAGCCGAGCCGAGCCGAGCCGCGGGGGGGTGGCGGAGAGAGACGGGCCCCGCCCCCCGCCGGCGCGGCCCGCCGGCCCCGCGCTGCCCCAGCGGGTGGGATTGCCGCCGGGATCGCGGGCCCCTCGGCGGCCTCCCGCCCCGCCGCGGCAGCGGGGCCGCCCGGCCGGGCCTCCCTGCCCCCGCGCGCCGCCGGTACCGAACACACCTCAGAAACGTGAGGGCCCGCGGTCACGTGGCAGCGGCGCCGGCCAATGGGCGGCGAGGGGCGGGGCGGAGCGGCCGGCGCAGCCCCGCGCAGTCACAGGGCGAGCGGCGAGGAGGCGGCGGCGGCACGGACGGCGCTTTCCGCGGGCAGGGCGCCGTCACCGCCCCGCAGTCACCGCCGGACCCAGCGCTCGCACCTTTCGTCCCTGCTCTCCCCAGCGCGGGGGCTCCGCGGGGTGATGCGTCCCCGCCGGGCGGCCGCTCCCGCCGTGTCCGCCGGGTCCTAGAGCCGTCCCAGCGAGGCCCCGCGGGCCGCCCCGCCGCCCGTCCGTGCTCGCCCGGCGGCGCCGGGCCATGAACGGCCCCGCGGGCGGCGGCGGTTCCCGCTGAGCGCCCGCACCCGGCATGGGGGTGAACGCCGTACACTGGTTCCGCAAGGGGCTGCGGCTCCACGACAACCCGGCGCTGCGGGAATGCATCCAGGGCGCCGACACGGTGCGCTGCGTCTACATCCTGGACCCCTGGTTCGCCGGCTCCTCCAACGTGGGCATCAACAGGTGGCGGTGAGTGCGGGGCGCTGCGGGGGCCCTAATCCCGCGTTATGTATTCGGTCACGCTGCCTCCCCGCCATCCCCTCCCCTCCGCGCCCGATTGGGCCGCCGCCAGCGCCGGCTTCCCTCGGCCGCTCGCCCTCCCCGCGGGCCGGCGGTGTTACATATCCAGCCCAGCGCCGGCCCGGGCTGCGGCGCACGTGGGAGGGACGGGGAAGCAGGAACCGGGAAGCCCACGGCACAGTGCGGGGCGGTGGGCTGTGGCTTCCCGCTGAGGGGGGCGCTTGTTCTCGCCCCCGAGGGTGGCGGATCAGTGCCCGAGCGCTGGAGCTCAGAGCGGGGTTGCTGCCGGGCGGAAAACCCTGTGGGGAGCAGCCCAGAGTGGGTTTGCGCCATTTCAGGAACTCTGGGCAGCCGGGAGCCCCAGGGCGACGCCGTCCTGGAGAAACTGTGAAGCTGCTCGCTTAGCTCAGAAGTACTTTTTCAGAGTAGCGTTCCTGCACGGAAGGGTATCACAAAATATCCTGAGTTGGAAGTGGCCCACGAGGATCGTGGAGTCCAACACCTGGCCCTGCATAGGACAGCCCCAAGAAACCCACCGTGTGCCTGAGAGCATTCTCTAAATGCTCCTTGAACTCGGGCTGGCTCGGTGTGTAGTGTCCCTTTCTGGAAAGTGCAGATTTATTCCTACACCATCAAGCCAGTTGTAATTTTCCTACGCTATATAAAAATGAACTTTACTATGGTGCTGTGACTGGCGTTTGCATGCTAAATGTGTACCATAAGGCAGAGGTTAATAGGACTTCTGTGCATGCTTGTCATGTGAGATTAGTTAAAAAATCACTAGGAATCTGAAAATTGTTACCCTTGTAAAATGCTTGATAATGCAGTAAAGTCTGTGTATCATCTGTCCCTCCAATGTCAGGAACTTGAAATGCTAGTGAACTTAGCCTGCCCAGACTACAATGCTGAAAAGTTGCCTAATTATGGAACAAGCACAATGAAACTTAACACCACATCATAGAAGAATGACAAAGTTTAGAAACTTCAGGTTTCAATTGTGTTTACTTGAGGGATTGTTCCTTTCAGATTTAATAATTTGTATCCTAGCTTATACTTTACCAGCCAGGTAACTTACCTTTGGAGGTTTTGAGTTTCTGGGTTTTTTTTTCAGATTTTGAGAGGTTTTCCTTACAATGTTCTTGTTTTCAAGAGATGAAAATACTAAAGATGCTTTTTGTAAACTTTAACTTGATGATTATTTCATTTGCACTGACAAAACTAACTTGGGAATAGCTGTTAGATACTTCCCGTATCTGAGATTCATGATGTACATTTATTTTATAAGAGACTTTTAACTCACTTTTGTTTTGAAGGGATAAGTTTTTTTTAATTACATTTTGACTTACTGAAGAGCCTCAAAGGTATTAATTTTGTGGGTGAAACATGAACAGCCACTGAATTTTGTGGGTGAAACATGAATGGCCACTGAAGTTTTAAAAGAATGTGGACAACTGGTACAAGTCTAAGTGTTAAGGAAATCACATGTCTTAAGAATACTTCATAGGTCTCTAATGTGCCCTGCAGTTGAAATGCTGAACAGTTTTTGGTTGTACTCTCTGAGCTAGTGAATGATAGACAAATGTGAACTTTGGTTCTAGCAGAAGGAAGTTCATGTCTTCAGTGCTATTGCCCTGGTTCTTCAGTGACTGTGTAATATGATCATTAGCTAATAGAGTCCTTGAGTTCATCTGTGTGTGATGTATTGCTGGTTGGTTTACTTAAACAGTGTTTTCAGTCTTTTAGAAGGCAGCTAGTCCTCCCACTGCATTTTGCATTTGACGAAAAATGCCTGGTTTTAGTTGCTGGTTAGAGGGACTGAATTTGGGGTAGATTACAACTCCCTTGTCCAAAGCACATCAAGCAATCTCCTGGTACTCAAATACCCCCAAGGCACATGCTGCACATGGATTTGAGTAGGAAATGTTGCTGCCTTCAGAGCCTGGTTTCATGAAATCATCAGGGTTTTTTTCAAGTTTAAAAGTACAATTGCTTTATAGAATAACTGACTGCTAAAGCTGTATGTTTATTAAGGTTCTTCTCAGTCAGTTTTTATTTAAATGAACAGTTACTGGTTTGGGATGAATCCTCTTTAGGTTCCAGTGATTTTAATGAGATGCTTTTAACCAGTGCAGACACATACATTCCCAGTAAGTATACACAAAATCTATGATGCAATTTTTTAGTTTCCCAGTCTTATTTGGCACTTATAATTAATGGAAAAACATTTAATGTTCTTTTTCACTTGATCACTATGAGCAAAATCATTGCTTACGTGCCTGTTGAGTAGGGTGTTGTACTGAGAAACATTTTATTTGAGACTAGGAGCAGAAGCCCTTCAGCAGTAGGAAGGTGAGTCAAATTTAACCTCCTGGTGTGAATTTACAGTGGTCCTTTCTTAATTTGAGTTGATTGACACCAAGTGTTTGTTGTCCTAGTGCCCTGGGCAAAACTCTTCTCTGTCAAACTATGACTAATGCAATCTACATGAGGAAAAATGGTGAAAGAATACAAGAAACCAGGAGGTTCAACTTCTTGTTAGAATATTGTCATTCTGCAGGGTCACCAGTTATGGTTTATATTAACAAATGTGTGTTAAATATAACACACAATAGGTTGCTGGTAAATAGCAACCTTTAACATATAGGTGCTTTCTAATTAACTTTTCTCTTTAAACAGTCATGTAACAATCAGGGAGTAATATTTTTGTGTAATTGCACTATTGAGTAAGTCTAATTACTAAGCAGTCACATGGTCTTACTGACCTCCTTTCTCCTGGCATTCAGCCTACCTGTTCTAAATTAGTGAATGCTACGTAACAAATGCCAGGACCTCCCTCAGTTCTCTTCTTTATTTTTTTTTTTTTTTTCTGGGTCTGTTCAGTTTCTCCTTATTGTTCCTTTTTTTCAGGCTGTCAAATAAATCGAGATGTGCTTTCATTGAAACATGCTTTTTCTATGGGATGAGTTCATAATGTTGTCCACAGATCAACACTTGAGAGAGAGAAGTTACTTAGTGCAGTAAAAGGTGCAGAAATGGTGGAGGGAGATGCCAAATTGCACTAAGGTTCTCTTAAAATTTTGTCGGTTGCCCTTAAATGTTAGGCACCAGAATTAACTTGTATCTGAATTGTGTCAACAAAGCAGGCAAAGAATGTAACTTGCATACTCCAACAAGTAACCATTACCTACTTCTGAAAAAATGTGTTTGTACGTGCTCACAGACTTTTCCATATTAAGGAGAATGGGATTTCATGCTTTACAACATCACCTAGAGGAGAGCTTCACTGGTTTTAGTGCAGAGTGACAATTGATCACAATACCGGAAAAGAAATGGAAACATTGTTAGTTGCTGCATAAGGATTTACTTTAGGTAATAATTTACCTCTTCTGGATTGTCTTTTTTGGGTATATGTGTCTGTCTTTGATATGCTAGTTAAAACACTTTTTTAACCATTGATGAAGAGAATGGATTTTACTTTTAAAATAGGAGTAATTGAATTTGCTTTGTATATCTCTTAGATATTGTGAGAATATTGATGTGTTCAACATTCTTCAAAGTTAGCTGCTGCTATTATTGCAGATAGTGGTATTGACTTTGGAGAGAAGAGAGAGATGATTTATTTTTCCACACTCAAATTTCAAGCAAATAAAAAAACCTGAGAGAAAAAAAAAAGTTTCATTTCCAGGACAATCACTGCAATTCATGGAAATGGGAACTTGTTTTAAAAATAATACTTGGACATCTTTCTGTAGTATCTATTAAATTTTCCTGTTCTGTGCATCTAGTTTTGAAAATATACTTAAAGTTTCCATTTACATAGTTATGATTTGTCCAATAGAGATGTGTTTGTTGGATGGGGGATTGGTGGAAAA